TGATAAAACTCTTCTGTCCCTGTAATTCGGATTCATTATTTTCTTGAGTGGAGAAAGGTTAGAAAAGTTCCTGGAGTTTCTCCCAGGTTACTTGGAGAGAAGAAATACAAAAAATACCTATTTGGGGGTAGGTTAGGCGTGTGAATCATCTTTTGGGGTTGCAAAAGGATGTGTAAAACTTTGGCAATTGGCTCATAGATATGAGCAGTTTTAGATTTGTTGTGAAAAGTATTGGCTGCACAAGCTAAATCATGAGCATCGGCAGGAACAAGAGGGTAAAAAAAACACAGATTCACTAAATCAATTAGGTAGGAACAAGAAAATCTTTTCACTGTAGTTCCTCAGGTACAGCTTTATCTCCGGCAGTACTGGTACCCCTTTATGTTACGTTCTCCAAGGAACTTGTATAGTAGTTTCTTGAATGATTCCACACTCTTAGCTGAAATCACTTCCTGCGGTAGCGAGTTCCAGACCCTAACCGCTCTAACTGTGAAGAACCCCTTGTGCCCCGTGTGTAGAATTTTTTTTTTTCTACCAATTTTTGGTGTTGCCCTTTGGTCTTTGTTACGGAGCTAGCCATAAACAGTTTGTTAATACTGTTGCTGTCGCCGTTTAACAGTTTTACAAGAAAATCATGTCCCCCCTTAATCACTTAACCTCCAAAGAGTTCAAAAAAAAATTAATAGGTTGTAAGGGTTTCTGGAGGGGTGTAAATGACCTTCCAAGAGAGATATATAAAGAAATATACAATTTATTACTAATACATGCTTAATTGGTTACATACATGATTCAAATCAATCTTATTAAAAATCAATTCCCTGCAGAGGATGCATCAATACATTGATTGTTAACAGCTCTATAAAAATCATTTGATCCAACATTCAGATGTAGTTGCATAATTCTAACCAATTGATAGTTTTTTCAAAGCATAGCTTAACTTAATAGGTCCCGACGCGTTTCGCCATAGGCTTCATCAGGGGACCATTCAGGATTAATCATGCCGGGTTAGTCTGCAGTATGAGGGAGAAGTGCCCAGGAAGCCAGTCAGGAGCGGGCGGAATCTAGACCCCCCGTTGCCTCCGCTGCTTACTTGGTTTGTCACACCTGGGACCCCGGGGTCCTTTGGGGGAGGAACCTGATTGCGGCAAAGCGTCGTCCAATTGCAGTCGCCTGGAGTATTAATTCTCTCAGATCAATATTTGTAGTTGGTGTGATTGCTGCTTTCACTCTAGAGTGCAGAGATTAGCCTGTTGCGTCCCATGGCATTCCCCGCTAGGGGAATGCAGACCAACCCGGCATGATTTATCCTGAATGGTCCCCTGATGAAGCCTATGGCGAAACGCGTCGGGACCTATTAAGTTAAGCTATGCTTTGAAAAAACTATCAATTGGTTAGAATTATGCAACTACATCTGAAATGTTGGATCAAATGATTTTTAGAGCTGTTAACAATCAATGTATTGATGTATCCTCTGCAGGGAATTGATTTTTAATAAGATTGATTTGAATCATGTATGTAACCAATTAAGCATGTATTAGTAATAAATTGTATATTTCTTTATATATCTCTCTTGGAAGGTCATTTACACCCCTCCAGAAACCCTTACAACCTATTAATTTTTTTGAACTATGCAATTAGGGGGAGAGGTGTAAAACTAGGCATACACAGGGGGACTACCCACAATTTAGCAATTTAACCTCCAAAGAGAACATATATTTAATTTTAACAACCTTGCTTCATAGTTCAGGTCCTCGAACCCCTTAATGAGTTTGGTTGCCCTCCGCTGGACTTTTTCCAGCTCAAGGACATCTTTTCTGAGTATCGGTGACCAAAACTGGACCGCATACTCCAGATGTGGCCGAACTAGTGATCTGTAAAGTGGCACAATTATAGATTGTCCCTGCAGTACATTCCCTTCTTAATGCAAGACGGGACTCTGCTTTGTTTACAGCAGTCTGGCACTGTGCCCTGTTTCTCAATCTGCGGTCTATAATGACCCCCAAATCCTTCTCCGTTTCCGACTTCCCTAGTGGCACACCCATAAGTGTATAGTCAATTTGCCTATTTTTAACTCCAAAGTGCAATACCTTGCATTTATCGACATCGAACTTCATCTGCCATACAGTTGCCCACTCCCCTATTTTATCCAGGTCCTCCTGTAATGTTACAATGTCTTAATCCGTGTCTATTACCCTCCCAATTTTCATATCATCAGCAAACACTGAGACATGGCTACTCACTCCCTCCCCGATATCATTAATAAACAGGTTAAAAAGCATGGGACCCAGTACTGAACCCTAGGGCACGCCACTCCTGCCTTCAGCCCAGTCTGAAAAGGTGCCATTAATCGATCCTCTTTGTACACGTTCCTGTAGCCAGTTTTCTATCCACGTGCACACTATTTCATCTATGCCCATAGCCCTTAGCTTGTATAACAACGTTTATGCGGCACCGTATCAAATGCTTTGGAAAATAATCACCTCTTGCAGTGATCTTTGCATGTTGCCCATTCCCAGGCCGTACTGACTGTACTGTTTCTTCTATTTGTAGACAGTTATCTACTAATGAATGGAACAACACCCAGGACTATATAGCTTTTTTTCATTTATTTCATTTTTTTTTCTACCGTTGTAGAAGGCTCCCTGAAATTTCCTTTGTTTGGGTCATTACCAGATCTTTTTTGGGAAGGAAAAAAAAATGCCTTCATAGAGATAATAGGCATAATTAGTTTGGTTAATCAGGTGCTGGAATCCACACTAAAACAAATGTATGTGTATTATCCTACTAATAGTTGACAAAAGAATGGAGAGGAATATCCAGCCTGTTACTACAGATGTTTAAAAATACCTCTAATGGGTAATGGGGGGGGGGGGGGAAAAAAAATTAGATA